TATGTTTTGCAGACTAATGAAAGAGAAATTAAAGTTTAAATATGAGAAAAGAAAGCAACATCGGCCCTTGCTGATGCTCAGTGGTTAGAGCCTCGGCCCAAGGACTGAAGGGTTGCAAGCTTAATCTCACGTGCAGGAAGCAACCAATCACTGTGTCTCTCTCACGTCAATGTTTCTCTCTCTCTTTCTTCCTCTCCCTTCCACGCTCTCTAAAAAAATCAATGAAAAAAGTATCCTCGGGTGAGGATTAACAAAAAAAAGAAAGCAACATTGACATTTTGTTAAATTTCAACTTGGTTTCCAATCTTGTACATACAAACAATAAGATTTAGGTCATTTTTATTCCTTTAATTAGGAATTCTATTAATGTTTCCTGTTCCCACAAAATTCTGTCAAGTATTCCCAAACTGAGTCAGATATAAGGTCCAACATTATATCATAAATAGGGGCCCAGTGCATGGATTTGTAGACTGGTGGGGTCCCTCACCCTGGCCTGAGGGGGTTGGGCATAAACTGGTTCTCTGACATCCCTCAAGGGGTCCCGGATTGCAAGAAGGCGCAGGCCAGGCTGAGGGACCCCATCAGTCATGATCGGGGCCAAGGAGGGACTACAGAGGGGCTCTAGGGCGTGCCCGGCCCTTCTCACCCAGTCCCGATTGGGGCCAATCAGGAATGGCCAGGGAGGGATCTTGGAAGGTTGGCCAGCGGAGAGGGACTACGAGAAGTCTCCAGGGCATGTCCAGCCCATCTCACCCAGTCCGGATCCCAGACCCCAGCAGCAAGCTAACCTACCAGTTTGAGCGTCTGCTCCCTGGTGGTCAGTGCACGCCATAGCAACTGGTCAGACACTTAGCATATTAGGTTTTTATTACATAGGATTACCTTACTTAAATTTACTTAAGTTTCTGTTTAATATTTCTTTAACTAATGAGTAACCTAAAAGTACATTATCAAATTACAATTTCAGGACATTTCAAGATTACTACTGTATTTTATTATGTTTCCAGTTGTAATTCTTGTTTCCAAGCAAGTAAAAAATCTGCTTTGAAATTCAACAGGAATAAGTGATAGGTAAATTTTTTTCTGTTAAAATTTACACTAATTATTTCTCTAGTTTAAAGCACTGCATTTTGTAGGTTCCTTTCTTTCCATCCCAGTGGTCTTCCTGGGAACTTATAAAAATATATTCTTAGTTACCATGTTGTTTATTCATATTATTGTCAGGAAAATTTCCTCTGAAGTTACCTCATTTGATCAAGGAGAAATTTATCAAAAACAACCAGTTATTTCAATGTTCCTTACCCTAAAAGTTCTCTCCTTTGAGAGGGAAAATTAAGTGCAAGCCAACAGCTATATATCAAGTCAGTGCCAATATCTGGTCAATATCCGCCCCTCAATACTATAGAGAATAAGAGGTCCGAGAAAGCCAAGGAAAGTTCATCGAGCACTAAAAATACTGAGACAGAAGCAAAGAGAGGTGGTCCCAGACCTCAAGCACTTTAAAACTTCCTGAGGAGATCTTGACCAGAATATGAAATGACTTCCTCACTTGTTGGTCACAAACGTTTACTCAAATAGTAATTAGAAACAGGATGCCTACTGGGCTGTTGGTGGGGAATGAACACACCAGTGCCAATGCAGTGCCTAAAATCTGGAATGCTGAAAAGTTACCTTCCTCCACAAAATAAATCAATAAAAGCAGACCACATTAATAACTACCACAGTCTGTGCTCTTCTTACTTATCACAGAGGAAATGGCTTCTTACATGTCAGCATGTGTTTATATAATTCTTACCTTAAGGTCTTCCCATAGCTTTATTCTCATTTCTAGACCTTGCTTCTTAACTTCTTTTTCTCTATATTGTTTCTTCATCAATATTTTATCAAGCCTGTTCATCTTCTGAATCGCATCTTGAAGTTGAGAATCGAATTCTTTTAATTTGGGTTCATCTATATTGTGTTGAAAGTAGGAATAAGCTTGAAGTTTAAAAAAACCATAAAGCTTTGTTTTGTTTTTACTATTTCTTCTTTCATTCAACAAATATTTATGGCTGATCGTAATAAGTAACATTGAGTCAAGTATCTTGATTCATAGGTGCTTTCACATGTAGTTTTTCACATAATTATCTAAAAATCCTGTGAAATAGACATGTATATCTATTTTACAGCTGTGATAACTGGATCCTTTTAAATAGCTAATATATTACAGCACTGAGTCCAGAAGTGGGTCTTGTGTGATTTTAATTCCCAAATTCTTCCTCCTTTATTCTACTATACCTTCTATATTCATATAATTAACAAATAAGGAATAATACAAAAACCCTATCTTAAAGCTGCTTCAGACTAATTGAGAGAGAAGGCATGTACGCTATAGATACAGTGAAATGGAACTTGTCATACTATTGACACAAAATGGTTCCAACATATAGAAACTAATACAGAAAAGTACTCCATGTAACCAGACACCTTTTACCTATGCCCTTCCCACTTGTTCGATTTTCTTGAGGCACCTAAAAATGTTCTTGAGTCGTGGATAATTGGAAGTAACTTATTTGAAATTAGGGACTCTATAGAATTTTCATCATTCAAGTTTTAAGTTACTTCCTCTGTGAAGTCTGATGAAAGATGATCATCTGGCAATGAGCATAACTGCTCAAACTCTGAAGGCTCAGCCACCCTAGTTTAGATCATTAGAAATGGCATATTATGCTAAGAAAGGCCAAATTTTGCAACTTTTGAAAATCCAAAGAGTTCAATTATGTTTTTCTATAATGTATATTACTTCCTCTTTAAGGAAATTAAAACATTTTCAGAGGGAATAAGCTTATCCAAAAAGAATACTGATCATATTAATAAGGAGGCTCTGCACATTTTTATGCGTATGTACTTCAAATGCAATAGCCCCTAGTTCTAATTCCCAGCCGCAAATCCTAGCATGCTCAGGCTCCATGTACAGAGGTGGTCTATAGAGCAGGCATTTTGAAGTAACTCATCATGCAGTACTGAAACAACATTAAATACAATGTAAACTGGGTTACAGCTCATCTCAACTACAATACCTGTTTCCTGATGACTATAATCCTGAATCACCTGGCCTTACTTTGAGAGCTAATATCATTCCAAATTTATACGAACTCAGCAGTTTTCAGTTTATGAATCTCACCTTCTCTTGCAGGGGTGGGGAACCTTTTTTCTGCCAAGTGTCATTTGGATATTTATAACATCATTTGCCATACACAATTATCAACTTAAAAATTAGCCTGCTTATATTTGGTCAAACATTTAATTAACTCACCCCTAATGCCTTGGCAGGGCCAGATCAAATGATTTCATGGGCCTTCCATGGCCCGTGGGCAGATGTTCCCCACTCCTGCTTTACAGCCTTAAAAGTTACTCAGAATCCAAAGTAGCTTTTATTGATGTGAGTTATATCTATTGATAGTTACAATATTAGAAATCAAAACTGAAAATATTGTAAACATTTATTCATTTTTAAATAAATATGTTATTACTAATTATATGTTAACATAAATGTAATACTTTTTTAAAAATAACTATATTTTTCAAAAAATACTGAGAAGAATAGCATTGTTTTAATTTTTTAATATCTGGATTAATAGAAGATAGCTGAAATCAAGTCAATCTAGAGCAATCTATCATTTTAGTTAAAGTACACAAAGAAAAGTTGGCCACACAAGACATATAGTAGGAAAGAAAAAGAGAAATTTAATAGCTTTTTCAGATAATGGTGGATATTCTTCTCTGACACTATGTAAAAATTTAACAAGGGGTGGTCTCTAAAAGGTTAGTTGTAATGTAAAACCTGTAACCATATTAGTGAACTTTTTATATTTGTTCCATTAAAATCCATGGATCTATCTTTCATGTTAAATGGGTCTTTTACCCTGCACTGGTCAGTTGGAAAACAGTGGTTCACTGAATTATGTAGACCTTCAAATGTTAACACATTTCAGTATACATAAAAAAAATCACATTTGTGAAGATGGCCACCAATTTTTTTTTTTTTCAGAAAAGTCTAAGTATTAGGAAGTTGTCAAGCTCACATGGACATACATAAGTTTTCTAAAATTCCACCTTTCACTTAAAAGCTCAAATTTTATCATTGACAAAAAATACTGTCAGATGTCTTCCTTGAGGTAACAGGCTCATTTCTTTTTTTAAAAAAATGTATTTTTATTGATTTCAGAGAGGAAGGGAACAGAAGATAGAGACATCAATGATAAGAGAGAATCACTGATCAGCTCTCTCCTGCACGCCCCCCACTGGGGATCGAACTGGCAATCTGGGCATGTGCCCTGACCAGGAATCCAACCCTGAACTCCTAGTTCATAGGCCAAGACTCAACCACTGAGTCACACCAGCCAGGTGATTTTTTTAAAAATGAATGCCAAATACCCAAGTCTGAAGGATAATAGATTTTCTGTCGGTCATTCTTTCAAGTAAAAATGGTGTTCCATTTAAAAAGTGGCCACGTCAGTTCTCAAACTATCACACAAGTACTTTTCCTCAGCACAACCTTCACATTTTGGTATACTAATACAGCAGAATTGTTTTATATGTACCTCCCATTCTACCACAAAAGATATTAAAAGATGTGTGTTCAAAGGTCAAAGTTTAATAAAATTATTAATTTTTATTGCTTCAAAGACATTCTTGAGTGACACTGGCTATTTCTTTTTTCTGCCAGTGCCTGGTCATGAAGAATATAATGACTAATAGTGCAATTTGATGCCATTGCCTTGGTTCAAATTTATGCCATTGCCTTGCTAAAGCACCAGCAATTTTACCTACACTGCTTTTGTACCATCGGTGCAAATGTCCATTCAGTGGGCAAGAAGGCAAATTGATTATTTCAGTATTATGATAAACTATATTACTAATATATTATGTCAATATTGTGATGAAAGTAGTTTTTACTTTGCAGAGCTCCTGAAAGGGGCCTAGAGACACCCAGAGCTCTCAAGACCACATTTTGAGAACTGCTGTTCTAATTCATTCTGACCAGTATTAATTTAATAACCATGAAAAAAGGAGTCTTTTAAAATCCAAGAATTAGTAAGATCAAGTGGGATTATCCCTAAAAAGTATTTATAAATTACATGATACATTTTGTTGTACAATTTTAGTCATCAAAAAGATCAATAATTCCTGTAATAAAATGCAGAAATAAAACAATTTTATTAAATGACATATCTTATTATTTTTCTAAGTGTACTTAAGGACTCCTAATATTCTTCTAAATAATCACTTATGATTGATTGTTCACACAAAAAATAACTCATTATTTATTTCTACTTAGCTGATAAGAAACATATCTAATTCTAATATTTTAACATCTATAATTATCATTAGCCAATCACCTACCTGAACATTTAGAAATTATCTGATGTTGAACCAAGTTCAAATCTTCATCTGACCCTTCTTTAGCCAGTTTTATATTATTCTCAGAGTAATATTCTCCTTTATCGTCCTTATTGTTTCTACTTCCCTCTGTATTACTGCTTTCTGAGTGGCTCTCTTGATCAGAGTTCAACTTGATTGCAGTATCAATCTAAAAATTATTTCCAAGGAAACATTTTTCAAAAATAATGTATTGTTTTAAACTTTGAGTTTCTAAACTATTTTAGATAACGGAAGTATATGTGGGGACACACATAGACTAGTATTAAAGTATTCTAGGAATATAACACTTCTTAATTAAATGTAATTTAACTACACAATTTAATAACAATCTGCACCAAAGAAATATGCACCATTCTCTAGCAATTTCTAGCAATAACGGAGAAAAGTCAGGAATCAGTCCTGAAGAGAACTGCTCTCTGCCAGGTTCTGGGAACGAGGCATTCTGGTCCCTGCTCCCTGAGCTTATACTCAGCAGATGAGTTAAAGGTCTAGAGCTGTGCTGTCCAATCCTATATAATAAAGAGCTAATATGCAAATGGTCATCACGCCTAACAGCTCAGACACTCAACACTGTGGAGAGAGGAATGGGGATCAGCCAGGTACAAATGAGCTCAGGAGAGCGGAATGGTGACCAGCCAGGCTGTGGCCCACGAGAGGGACAAGCCGCACACCCCACGGTCCCAGATGCCAGCGGCTGGGGTTGCGGCCCAGGAGAGGGACAAGCCGCACACACTGCAGTCCCGGGCACCAGTGCCTGCGGCTGCAGCCTGGGAGAGGGACAAGCCACCCGCCTCGCGGTCCCAGGCGCCTAAGGCTGCAGCCCAGGCAAAGCCATCCGCCCACGGTCCCCTGTGGCTGCGGCCAGCCGGGCAAAGCTGGCCTGGGTCCTAGGTGCCTACGGCCGGCCAGAGGGAGGGAAGCCTGGGTCCCTGGTGCCTGTGACCGGCTGGAAGAGGGAATCCTGGGTCCCAGGTGCGTGGCGAGGCAGAGGCGGTTAGGGGCGATCAGGCCAGCAGAGGAGCAGTTAGGCGCTATCAGGCAGGCAGGCAGAGGTGGTTAGGGGCAATCGGGCAGGCAGACAGAGGGGTTAGGGGTGATCAGGCAGGCAGGCGAGCGGTTAGGAGCCAGCAGTCCTGGATTGCAAGAGGCAGTCAGACATCCCCCGAGGGGTCCCAGTTTGGAGAGGGTGCAGGCTGGACTAAGGGACCGCCCCCCCCCATGCACGAATTTCATGCACCAGGCCTCTAGTATAATATAATAGCCACATGTGGCTATTGAACAGCTGAAAAGTAAACAGGCTGAATTGAAATGTACTTTTAATGAAATTCAAGTCAGAACCATGTGCTTTGGTGATTATTTTTATGCTATTCACAGTTTTTCTATTTCATTATGGTTTCTCTTTCCATTTTAGCGACATTCACTTTGAAAACACCACTTTGGTGCAGCTGTGTTTTCCTGAGAGAACAAAAAAAGACATCCATGGCTGAGTCAGGAGAAAACAGGGGTCACAGGGCACGTGGCAGGGAGAGTCATAGTGGAAATGAACTCAGCCCAAGGGAGGGTCACAACCTCGGAAAGAGAGCCAGCCACTTTTTTAAAAAAAATCTTCACCTGAAGGCATGCTTAGGCATATGAAGGACAGACATGCTTAGAGAGAGGAAGGAGAGAGAGAGACATCGATGTGAGAAACATAGATCAGCATGCTCCCTGACCGGGATCAAACCCACAACCCAGGCATGTGCCCTGACTGGGAATCTAACCAGCAACCCTTAGGTGCACCAGAGGACACTCAACCAACTGAGCCACTTCGGGGGCTGGGCAAGAGCACCAGCCACTTCTGAGAGGAGTACCTCTTCCCTCCCAATGGTCTGCTCCAGTCCTTCAGGGCTCAGTCCTTGGAGGGTTTTATGCTCTCTCTACACCCATGTGATCAAGCTCCCCTACTGTAATCTGTGCTCCTTGAGAATCTCCAAGGCAGAAGGTTGGTGGTGTAGGAGCATCTCTGTTCACCTGATCTGGTACATAAATCCCAGCAGAACTGAGTCAGTGGTATAATGATCATAGCCACCATTTATTGGTGAATTACTATTAGCCATGTCCTGTGCTACGTACTGTACACACACTGCCTCCTTCTCTCCACACAATGACCCTATGGTGAAGGCACTGCTACCTGATTTAACAGAAAAGAAAACGGATCTGGTATAGAATGAAACTAGTGGAGACCCAATTTATAAACAAAACAATGCCTACTTTATGTAACCTCAGAGGTGTTAAAGAGGGTTCCCTTCCAAAAACATACTTCTGTCAAAGGCCAGGTAAAACCTGAAATTCCCTAATATCCAGTAAATCCTTAAGGATTTTCTGTGAAAATGCTGAAATTGCTGGGAAAGGTCACATGGGCCTTGTCAGTCATTTATATCATGGTATTAATGAATTTAGCTGACCTTACCCTGAGAATGGGTTTTTATAGAGAGGAATATAGAATATACAAAAGATAACGAGATATAGCAATATACTGAGATAACACACTTCAGGACATACAAAGACCTTTCACATGTATCATCACATATGATCCTCTTAGAATGAGCAGGAATTAATAAGGCAAAAAGATGAAACTGGAGAACAAAAGGCTAACTTTGTCCACTTCACAATTTTACCCATAGCTCCCCATCCATCTTCCCCAGCCCATTCATTCCTGATAGTCTCTCTGTTCCTGACCCTCCTGCTCTTCTACCCTGTGGCCTATGTGCATGATTTTCCTTTCTTCTTCATTCTCAAAGCCACATTCCAGCTCCAATTTTCATTTCTCCATGTCCCCCACCTCATACCTGCATGTTAGTCCCAGGAAAAGTAAATACCCTATAAAAACCTTTCCTGACAATTAGATTCCCTACCTGAAAGATATGGGATTTTTACGAAAAATATTCATAAGCAAAAATAAACCAAAAATTTTAGAATGAGAAATCTATTATTACTAAAGAAATTTCATTAAAAATATAGCATTTTAAATTCATTTTCTGCCATACAAAAAATTTTGGCAACATATCAATAAATGCCAAATTTGAAAAATAAACTAATAAAAACTCCAGGATTTATTATTCAGACAAAATATAAGGTTTCGTAGACACTGAATCATTTGCAATCAGCAGTCAACATGTAATATACCTGTGGCTTCCTTCCCCAATCTAAGATGGACCTTACTTATTTTCCAGGAACTTGATTAACACAAATCACAATTTTTTAGGAGGCTTTCCTTTTGATAATAAATATTCTAGAGTTAACTGTAGCTTATTGGGTTCAATTAAAATCTTACTTAAAGTGACCATTGATATTTTTCTTTTAAATAAGTCTTGAACAAAGTAATATTAATCTATGTATTAAAACCTGTGTCAATATTTGTAAAGTTGCTGCTTTACAAAAAAAAAAATCACCCACGAATATATAAGCAGAAATACTAATTCTATGCTACTCTAAATTTTATCAGGTTTTTGGATATTACCCTACCTAAACAGAGAGGGAAAAGCTTCATTCTAAATTTATTGAACACATATTTTATGAATACTTACTATGTGCCACACTAAATGCGGAATGCTATGAATAACACAGAAAGGACTGACCAATTGAGTTAAAGAATTGAGACCTGCCCCCAAATGGGTGACTCAGTTGGCTGGAGCATCTCGTACACCAAAGAGGTTGCGGGTTTGATTCCTGGTGGGAGCACATATGGAAGGCTGCCAGTCGATGTTTCTCTCTCACACTGATGCTCCTCTCTCTCCCTTTCTCTCTCTCTCTCTCTCTCTCTCTCTCTCGCCTTTCTTTTTCTTCCTCTCTCTCTCCAAAATCAATAGAAACATGTCCTTGGTGAGAATTGAAAAAGGAATTAAAACAATAACTATGAAGTATTGAATACTTACTAGGTGCTAGTCACTGTTCTAAGAACTTTAAATATTATCCTTAAAACATGCCTATGAGGTTTGAACAGATGAGAAAACCAGCACAGAGAGTCAAAGTAATTTTCCCAAAATCACATAAAATGTGGTCAGCAGAACCCAATTTGAACCCATGACTACAGCTTTAAAAAAAAAAAAAGAGGAGGAGGAGGAAGAGGAAAGAGAGATAAAGAAGGCGACAGTATCCTATATAATAAAAGCCTAATATGCTAAGTGTCGGGTCGTCTGGTCGGCTGTTCAACCAATCAAAGCGTAATATGCTAATGATATGCTAAGGCCACTCAACCACTCGCTATAATGTGCACTGACCACCAGGGGGCAGATGCTCTGACTGATAGGTTAGCTTGCTGCTGGGGTCCAGCCAATCTGGACTGAGCAAGATGGGCCAAACATGCCCTGGAGCCCTCCTATGGTCCCTCCCTGGCTGGCCAAACTCCCGTGTCCCTCCCTGGCCCCAATCATGCACCAGTGGGGTCCCTCAGCCTGGCCGGCGCCCTCTTGCAATCTGGGACCCCTCGGGAGATGTCGGAGAGCCGGTTTCAGCCCGATCCCGCAGGCCAGGCCAAAGGACCCCACTGGTGCATGAATTCATGTACTAGGCCTCTAGTTTCATATAAAATGACCTAAAGTAGCCGAAACCGGTTTGGCTCAGTGGATAGAGCGTCGGCCTGCGGACTGAAGGGTCCCAGGTTCGATTCCGGTCAAGGGCATGTACCTGGTTGCGGGCACATCCCCAGTAGGAGATGTGCAGGAGGCAGCTGATCGATGTTTCTCTCTCATCGATGTTTCTAACTCTCTATCTCTCTCCCTTCCTCTCTGTAAAAAATCAATAAAATATATTTAAAAAAAAAAAATTAAAAAAAAAAAAAAATGACCTAAAGTAAAGTCCAAGAAATCTGTGTGCTCCCAGCACAACCAAAAGAACTACCTTAAAATGGGATGTTAGCAACAATTTTTATTTATCAGAGTTTAAATCATTTCTAAACAGCAAAGTACCTTTAAGGACACTGGCTCTGGTGAGAGCACCTCCAAAGAAGTATTTGAACACCTGCTCTCAGGACGTGTTCTTGAATTGGAGGCTGGTTTTGAAATCCCATCTAAGTTCCCCTTTATAATATCCATTGATATCCTGAAACAAAAATTTTAAAGCAAGTTATGATGTGTATTTGTTTCATTAGTGTTAATATGCAATTCATGGCCTTGTTATAAGAATTATGTTGCTACCAAAGTCACACTACCCTAATTTCATGAAAGACGTCTGTGTCTGTGGATCATTAGATTTTATTTCACTGTAGGTGGAAAACGCTGCCTCAGATGTTAGATTCTGAAAGTGGCTAAAAAAGAATGCAGAGGTGAATGCCATCTTGATGGCTTCCTGTACTCTGAGAGATATTACTGTGTCCTTGAACTGAGAATACACTCATGAAGCACCACACCTCTCAGCCAAGAGTCATGCTTTGTCGTAATGATTGGCTAAGGCCTCTACTTTCTTCTGGTTTTGCCTGCCTTATCCCAGTCTTCCCTCTCAGCCTTATCTTCCCTCTCAGCTCTGATTTCTCCTCTCCTCCTTGGTGCTGTATTTTCATGGAGTACCTACCTCCAGGTCACTGCTCTTTATCTATCAACCCTCCCCTTCTAAAACCCATGACACTACTTCTGCCCTCTGAGTCAACAGAGAACAAAACCTACTTCTTCAAGTACTGGGACAAACTTTCATTATCTGGCTATACATCGACAGTCTCTTAAACTATTTTTCTTGTGTCACCACCCACAGGCCTCTCACCACTCTGGCTGCTCTCTTCCCAGTGCTGCTTTCTGAAGCAGGAACTATGAGGCAGGGTGGTTTAAACGAGTGGGAGGACTTGGGTACTGCTTGCACATTGACTCTGTGCCGTTATTCAGGACCAGCCCAGATTTGGTCAGGAATGTGAGGATGTCATGCATACTGAATAAAATGAAAGGAATAGGGAGAGTTCCAGTTTTGCCTTCTCCATACTTAGCTTTATATGTGGAAATCTTCCAACAAATCCTTTCCTAAATTCCTATCAATTATGAATTAAACCACTTCTCTCATAACAGAATGAAGAAAAGCAATTGCATCTGGCTCAGCAAGTGTTAACAAAGTCCTTTCCTTGTCCTACAAAATGACTCGTCATTCTCTGTTGTTTAAACAGCACAGGCAGAGTCCAGGGAAGTTCTGGACACAGGCAGAAGCACAAACATAAACAACCTGATGCTTCTCCAAGGCAGACAGAGGGATAACATGATTTAGCCCCCAACCATTCAGTGTGCCAAAGCTGGTGCTTAAGGAACCAGTAGGTCAAGTCTTTCCATCTCAGCAAATGAAAAGGGTATTGGTCTCAATGTTATTCAACTCTGCAAAAGGGTTTTGGCTCGCTCAGGAAGGCACTGACATTATTATTGTGGGATGACGGATTACCCTGGCCAGTCATGTCACAATCAAAAAGCATAAGGCACTGAAAGGTCAAATGTCTTGTAAATGCCCTAAGCAGCTTGTCAGGGAGACTTATGGCAGCTTATAGAAAGAGCAGTGAGATGGAAGCATGTGCAGAGCTAGTATAATACATGTCAGTGAAGGGTGAGGCCCAGGGAGCCGTCAGTGACATGGATCAGTTATAAAGCTCCAGAAATCTTTCAATTTGCTTTAGAAATAGGTCTGTTCTATTATTTTTGCTCCTGAAAATAATAAATTATATAAAGTACACTTCCCAGGGTGAGTGGGAATGTAACTGGCAATCTTTGAATTTGGCCATATAGAAAAAAAGTATGGACAAAGGGCATTGAATTAGGATCTCACAGATGTATTTGAGTGTTTGAGAATAAACCTCAATAGCCACATAGAAATTCCACAAGAAAAATAAAGCACTGTACAAAAAAGAAAGCAATTAAATGACAAAATTGGGGAGTAACTGGAACTTTCATATATTGGTTGTGGGAATTCAAAACAGGACAACCGTGTTATAGAACTGCTTGGCATTTTCTTATAAAGCTAAACATACGCTTACCATATGATTCCACAATCTCATTTCTAGATGTTTACCCAAGAAATATATGTTTCACACACAAAAACTGTACATGAATGTTTATAGCAGCTTCATTAATTGCCCCAAACTGGAAACAATCCAAATGTTGCTCAACTGCCATAGCCGGTTACTCAGTGGTTAGAGCGTTGGCCAGAGGACTGAAGGGTCTCAGGTTCGATTCCAGTCAAAGGCACGTACCCCAGTTGCAGGTTGGGGACATATGTGGATGTATCTCTCTCACAAAGATGTTTCTCTCTGTGTGTGTCTCCCCACTCCCTTCTTCTCTCTCTAAAAATCAATGGAAAAAATATCCTCCGATGAGGATTAACAAATGTCACTCAATGAGGGAACAGATAAGCAAACTGTGGTACATCCATCCAAATGAATACTACCCAGCAATATAAGGGGACAAACAACTGATACAAAACATGGAGGAATTTCAGCTGCATTGCATTAAATTGAAAGAAGCCAGGTTCAAGAGACTCCATAATGTTTGCCCAATTATAGGACCTTCTGGAATACACAAAACTTTAGGGGAAATGGTTGCCAGGCCTGGAAGGGGGAGGGTTTAACTACAAAAGGTACCAGGGGATTTGGGGGGAAATTGTTCTGTATCTTGATTGTTGTGGCAATTGTGTTTGTCAAACCTCATTGGACTGCACATTAAAAGGGTGATTTTTATCGTATATAAAGTATAACTCAATTTTAAGTTAACCTCTCTTACAAATTTTTGTCTTGTTATATTTATATATCCCGAAGATCAATGAGAATTGCTTAGTCAAAGAACATTTGCGTTTCAAATTCTGGTAGTCTGCCAAACTGTTCTCCAAAAACACTGTACCAAACCACACTACTGCCACCAAGTTATGATGAGATGGAAGTCTGTTTCCCCCGCATCGGAATGGGGTCAATGGTTAACGTCAAAGCTTTTTCATCTTTGTCAATCTGGTAAGTGCCCAAAGATATCTGGAGTTTGACTGACTTTGCTTGAATTATGAGAGAAGTTGAGCCTCTAGTTAAATGTTCGCTGGCCACCTTTTTTTATTTTTCCGTTGAAATGCCAATTTGCATTCTTGGTCATTTATGGTCTATTTTAAGTGGCTGATGATTGATTTTAATATAAATTCTAGGCTGTGGGTCAGACTCCCAGGCACGCCCTCCCCGCCTCCGCCCTCCCCCAGGCCCGGCCCCTCTCCCTGCAGCCCGAGGCCTCCGGGCCGGTGGCCGGACCGACGCTGCTGCGCTCCGCGTGGGCTGGTGGCGGGGCGACCGAGCCGGCTCCTCACCTGCCCGAGACGACTCTGGGAACTAGTCGCTCAGAGGCACGCCACGGACGCTCGCAGCGTCACCCACTGTCCCCCCAAAAACAAGGAGGTCCTTCCTGTCACCACAGTTAACAACTCTGAAGCTGAGAGGAGTGGCGGGTCCAAAGCCCTCCTGCTGCTGAGAACGCTGTTCCCCTGGCAACCGAGTCACGCCGCGCCCAGTCTCGCGATAACAGGAAAGGGCCGTACCACCCAGCATTGAGACGTGGGGGCGGGACAGCGAGGAGCTGGGCAGCTCCATTGGCTCGTTCGTGTTTCCGGAGCACATCGTGGGTGGGGAATGGTTTGTCCGTATGGAGGCTGCACTCGGAACAGGGATGTCTGGGTGCTTGTTTGGCTCCGGCCCTGGCTCGCCATATGGTGCCGGCCCTGCAGGTCCGTCACCCTCTCTGAGCTCGTTGCCTCCTCTGTAAAATGGGGATAATTCCAAAAGATCATGTGTGTGAAGTTCTTGGTAAAGTTTGGGTGCCGTATAAATGAAACATTAGTAATTGCACAAATAGGGCTACAGCCCAAAAAGGGTAAAAGTGATATCTGTGGTTTCTGTCACTGTCAGTGCATGAAGATTCTTTGGTTTAGTCCAAACACTGATTTTCTTCATCCCCGGTACCGTGAAATACCTGCTTTTTTTTCCAGTCTGAGCAGCACTTTACAGTTTGCAAGGGATTTTCACATACTTGGCCCCTTTATCTTCGTTGTTTTGGGTGGTAGGATGTGGATTCTTCAAGTGGTTTTCAGCAGAGTAAATAGACAGAGGTTAAGTGAGTTCGTCAAAAACCACAACTACATTCTAGGGCAGTGCTGGCTGTAAATGCCGCCCATGTGCTGCTAACCCTCCATTTCTATCGCCAGCCCAGGCTGCTCCCCTGAACTCCACGCTGTTGTATCTGACTGTGACCTGGCAACTTAGACATCTCCACTTAGATGTCAGAAGCATCTCAAACTTCACATCAAAAATCAGTCTTCTCCACGTCCCCTCCACCACCACCACCACCACCACCACCACCTCTTAATCCATCTCAGTAAATGGTAACTCCGTCCTGCCAGACTCAGACCAAGAACCTTGACGTCATCCTCAATTTCTTTTCCTCTCACATTCTACAATCAAGTTATCAACCTGTCATCTCTACACTCAATATATATCCAGAACCCAACCACTTCTCGCTGCCTTCCGTGCTCCAGTGAGGTACATCCTGCCCCCTCGTAGTCCCGGCTTCAAAATAAATGTGATAAATGTGACTCCTTAGATCGACTTCTTGAGGCGTCCTTGTGTGATTCGCGGGGGTACATTACAACACTGGCAGTTTTGATTCTTTAATATCTGTTGGGAATTTGGAAATACTACTCCTTGTTGTTCCTCCAATACAAATAACCACCCCCCAACACACACACACACACACACACGCACACACACACACACACACACACACACACCAGCCCATTGCTTCCTCTGCCTAGAATACAGTTGAGTTGCCCAGCTATTCATGTGGCTTGCTTTCTCTCTTCACTCAGTGGCTTTTTCAGGAAGGTCTTTACTGATCACCCTATGTAAAGTAATCCCTCCCCATCTCCTCACTCCTTATCCTCTGTTCCCTTGACTCTGTTTTATTTTTTTAGATGGAGGAGAAATACCATTGTTTGGATTCTGATACTAAATAGCTAGGTAGCCCAGGAGTCTAGGTGATGGCAATGTTTCTGGCCCACTGACCAGTCTCAGTAGCTAGAGACCAGATAATCTCCAAATGCATGCATAATTCTAATATTGCAGGAATAAAGACCATTCTTTCCAGTGTGTGTGTGTGTGTGTGTGTGTGTGTGTGTCGACCAATGGTGTTCATCAAGAAAACAACACATTGCCCTGGCCAGTGTGGCTCAATTGGTTGGAGAGTCATTCTGAACACCAAAAGATTGTGGGTTCAATCCTGGTCAGGGCATAAACCTAGGGTGTGGGTTCGATTCCCAGACAGGGCTTGTATGGGAGGCAACAGATCGATATATATCTCTCACATCCATGTTTCTCTCTCTCTCTCTCTCTCTCTCTCTCTTAAATCAATGGAAGGAAAGAGGGAGTAATGGAAGGAAGGAAGGAAGGAAGGAAGGAAGGAAGGAAGGAAGGAAGGAAGGAAGGGAGGAAGGAAGGAAGGGAGAAAACATGATTTCTTGGGTGTGTGGAGGGGGAAAAAAAGCTAACTGAAATCAGAGCTGTGATCAGTGCCCATGATTAACTGGCGTTTTCATTATTTAAAGTGTTGCTTTTAAAATATTTGCAACATAAGATAAAGCAAGTTCAATAAAAACTTAGTCTCTTTACTGTCAACTTTCCCAACTAAGTCCCCATTGATTACATTTTGCATAAAACTCGTCTCGTCTTGAGTTGTTTTCTGTCATTCTCGCTTTGTTTATTTACCTCCTGCTGCTTCTGTTTTGCAAACTGCTGAGAAGCTGCATGTGCCTTGAGAGCAAACTTTTGTGCTGTTTTCTGAAATATGTGTTCAAAAAACCCAAACATATTCTAGAAGGTATTGTGCCTTCCAAAATAATTCTTAAAGATTTCTTCCAGAGTCAAGTTATTTTAAGCTAAAATTCCCCTGGTCTCATTCCAGGTTGGGGACATATGGCAGTGCTGGTTTCAGAGTTGGGTTTGTGGGGTTTTTTTGGTTTGTTTTCAGTCTCTCTCTCCTCTTGACATTCTCCTTCTGAGGGGAGTCAGATTTTGAATGAATGAGAGAGAGCCCACATTGTATTCCATCTGGGCTGCAACTCCCACTCCAGTCTTGTTGCCCCAATTTCCTTTTTCTCAGCATAAGCATCAGCCAAACGCAACAACACACTGGGAGAGGAACCTCATTAAGCCTCGTAGATTCTACAAACCAGATGAAATGGTCATTTCTTTTGAAGGGCAGTTAAAAGTGTATGCCGCTGGACAGTTCCCACCTCCTGTGATTCTGTGGCTTAGTGTAATTTAAAAATAACATTTACTAAGTGTTTAGGACACGCTTTAGATGCATTATTTCACTTTACTTCATAACATCTGGTGAGGCGGCACTATTATTATCCAGATTTATAGTTGAGAAGCGGAGCACAGAGGGGTTAAGTAATTTTCCCAAAGTCATTCAGGAACAGACACTGGGATTCCAGAGCAAGTTCCCAAGACTGCTCTCTTTACCTCCTCACTGAAATCAAGAAAAGAGCTTATTGGTATCCACTAGATGGTGCTGACTATCTGTTAAAAGACAACTGCAGCTGCTCTTTCAGAAACTCACTTTGCTTGGATTTTAGGTGTGATTCAAGAAACTGCTGAAATATACCGTATGTTTGAACTGTGCTTGAGTATATTTTTAAGTAGCTATCCAAATAGGAAAAGTGAAAATTAGATCTCAAAAAAAAAAACCAGAATGGATTTTTAAAATATCTTGGTACATATTATGAATATCTAATATCAAATACCATTGGTGACTCGCAGACTTAAAAAGAAATCCATGTTTTATTTCATTTACCTCTTTTACACCAATTGCACTTCCTCCCGCACCTGCCAATCCTGCTTGGTCTCGATACCATCCATGTAACCAAGACTCATGAACAGGGACGTAAAGAAAGCCTTAAAGAACAAAAATCACGATCTGGAACAAGTAATCCTATCTTTATTCAAATAAAAACGCACTTTAAATTTAATATGTGCTGCCGAAACCGGTTTGGCTCAGTGGATAGAGCGTCGGCCTGTGGACTCAAGGGTCCTGGGTTCGATTCCGGTCAAGGGCATGTACCTGGGTTGCGGGCATATCCCCAGTGGGAGATGTGCAGGAGGCAGCTTATCGATGTTTCTCTCTCATCGATGTTTCTAACTCTCTATCTCTCTCCCTTCCTCTCTGTGAAAAATCAATAAAATATATTTTTTAAAAATTTAATATGTGCTTAGTACTTTTTTAGTACATTTTTTAGTACTTAAAAGGCTAGGAAATAAATCTGCTAAAAATAGGCTCTCAGATTTTGTTCCTAAGGATCGTTTCAGGTGTTATTTTAAATGTTTATATTAGTCCCTGGTCCCTGATTTAATAGGTCTGGGGTCTGGCCCAGGAATTTGCATTTTAACAAGTACCTTGATGATTCTGGTGCACTAGAACCAGGAACACGCTTTTAAAAACACCGACCTCACATTTGTACTCTAACGGGCACACAGAGGTGTCGCTGCTCCGGGAGGCACCGTGGAGACCCCTGGAGCTGTGCAGCACAGGGCCCTGAACGGAGACATCTGTAAATAGTGAGCTAGAAACTGGAAATGCTCTCCCTTCCCATTTTTTAATTCTAAACCTTTCCTTCCTCTTCCTGTCTATTGTGGAGTGCTACATAGAGTCAAGTTCCAGTTGGAGGATGTTCCCCCTCCATTTTAAAAATCAGGGGGAAAATCTTGCCACTTCTCAATATTCATTAGTCCAAACACATGATACCTTTTGAATTTTGTAAGTGAAAGAAGTTAGCCCATGCATTGTCATGTGACCTTGTTTAACTTGTTCAGGTGATGTGAATATCAGTATGGAAAAAACAGGACTGTGCCAGGCAACTATGAGATACATAAAAATCAGCGTGCGCACCGCCCCCCACCACCACCACCACCAACACACGCGCACACACACACACACACACACACACACACACACACGCAGTGCAGCTATACGTTTATGTCCCAGGAAGTTAATAAAGGCTTGTTCTTTAAAAGCTAGTTGAAGGAAATAAATGAAAATGAAGATACCGACTAAAATCTGGAGGTTTTGTGCTTGGTGGTGGGTGTGGGCTTTTTTCTGTTTTGTTTTGTTTGTCCTTTCAGTGCAGCCCTCAAGAGATCAGCTCTGCGAAGCGACTCATTTTTTACCAGAAAGGGAGAAGTTTTTCTCCTCTTCTCTCAGAGAATTGCCTCACAGCAACAGACTGCTTAGCTCTCTCGTTATATTGCCGGCCGCATAGTTGGGTCGCCTGCAGCAATTCTGTAAAGTTTCCAGAAGCGTCCCGAGGCTGGCCGCAGTTCCCGTTGCTGATACCAGCTGAGGTTATGGTGTTCTACTCCTGGCAT